GCTTGCAGAACTGAAACTGAGACACAAATACATTTCAAAGACAAACAATAAGAGATTGAGTGAATTTTACAAGTTTCTTCCTGAGTCTGCTTGAACCTCTGTTTAGAATCTGGCTTGCTTACAACACATTTCATCATGAAAAACCTAAGGGTTAAGTTGTCTTCTGGCTTGAAGAAAATACAGTTGTTGATCCCATCAGAGTAACAGTGACTTACCTTTATATTTAACAATACCGTTGCTTAGGCAAAGTTATTGCTGGCAAGTCAAAAGTCACAAAAACAGTGCAATAATAACCAGGGGAGCAGATCACAAGCACATCATTTTCATGTGTGAGCACAAAGTCCTATATTTCTTCCTGTTAGAGACATAGGTACCTGGGAGTTTTCACAAATTCATTTCAGTGAAAGTTGAAAAGTTACCTCTGAAGAACAGCAAATCTGCTTATGTAATGTTTATACATGAGTGACAATGCTGTTTCTCAAGTTAATTCCTCTGCAGTCTCCCTCTAAATATTTAGATGTACAAATTATCTGTAGCCTTGGTATCTCTTAATTCTTTTTGTGGATACAGAACAAGCCTGTACTACAGCCCATGAGTGTTTTGACAAAACCCATAGAAGAGAAGAACAGCACCAGCTAAAAGAGCTGCTACAATAGTCATATTGTTTCCAGAATTCTCAACAAAAGACACTTTTGTTTGGAAAGTATGTATAGATAGTCTATGAAAAGCCCACATTGATATCATATATATGTAGGTTTGGATATGAAATGCAGAGCACTTCATCATAGAATCATAGAATCATAGAAGGCTTAAGGTTGGAAGGGACCTCTAGAGGTCATCTAGTCCAATCCCCCTGCATACGCAGGGTCACCTAGAGCACATGGCACAGGGCTGCATCCAAGCAGGTTTTGAAGATCGCCACAGAAGGAGACTCCACAACCTCTCTTGGCAACCTGTTCCAGTGCTCTGTCACCCTCACTGTTAAAATTTTTTTCCTGAAGTTCCTGTGGAACTTTTGATGCTTCAGTTTGTGGCCGTTTCCTCTAGTTCTGTCGGTGGCCACCACTGAAAAGAGGCCAGCACCATCCTCCTCACTCCCTCCCTTGAGGTACTTAGAGACACTGATCAGGTCCCCTCTCAGCCTTCTCTTCTCCAGGCTGAACAGGCCCAGCTCTCTCAGTCTCTCCTCATAGGGCAGATGTTCCAGGCCCCAGATCATCCTTGTGGCCCTGTGCTGTGGCCTCCAGCAGCTCCACATCCCTCTTGTACTGGGGAGCCCAGAACTGGACACAGTACTCCAGATGTGGACTCACCAGGGCTGAGTAGATGGTGAGGATCCCCTCCCTCGACCTGCTAAAGCAGATCTTCTTAATGCACCCCAGGATCCCATTGGCCTTCTTGGCCACAAGGGCACACTGCTGCCTCATGGTCAACTTGTCGTCCACCATGATGCCCAGGTCCCTCTCTGCAGCGCTGCTCTCCAGAAGGTCCAGAAGTTTGGTCCCCAGCCTGTACTGGTGCCTGGGGCTAATCCTCCCTGTGTGCAGGACCTTTCACTTGTTTTTGTTGAATTTCATAAGATTTCTCACTGCCGAATCAAACTGCCCACTTCAATCAATATCACAAGGTTACATAATGAAAAATGTCACAGGATTAAGCAGAGTTTACATAAGTTTTTATTTAATCATTAAAAAGTTTTCCCAAAAATATGGAAACTAAAATTATTCAAACTACATATAAATATAGTGTGAAAGTAAAATATCAATAATTATACAATCATATGGTTCCCATGCAAAATAGATTCAGAATAATTTTAAAGATTATCTTGCATTCAGTTTTTCATCTTAAAATACTAGGCACTTACAAAAGTGTAGATGGAGCTTCATTAAGTCGTCTGTATTCAATGAGCATAGGAATATACAAAAACCTGCCTTGTTTATAGTGCAACTGAGAGACTAATTTAGTCTGCTATAAATATTGAAGAAAAAAAAATAGAATTCTTCAGAAAGAAAGATTTTAAATCCCTTTCAAATGTTAAGATGAAGTCCAGAGGTGTCTGAACATTTTCTGTAATTCACTATCCTCCTCCTGTTTTCTTGGTTCCTTAGAAAAGCTAAATTACTTTTTCAGCTGAAACAACTGGAACATCTATGAACATGCTATTCCTCTCTGCTCCTTTTCTTGATGAGCCAGGTTTGCTGCAAAAGAGCCAACGCCTTGAAAAATGATATAGTGTCCTTATAAGCCTGTGTCTGAATGGAAAGAAAGTGCCTGGCAGTGAACATTTTGATGATCCCCTCCACGCAAACTCTAGAAACAGGAGGTAAGAAATGTGCATATTAGTGTGCCTTCCAAGAAGTGTGAAGAAGGGGCTGTATCTGAGCACTATTAAAAGTGTTTCATGACAGGCTTTCGTGTTTTTTAAATTCATATTTTGATGCATGCTGATGCATAGACTCCACAGCATGTTTTATAGCATTTCAGTTATTAGAAGTCCATCTGTGCTTATGGATATGCAAATAGTAGAAAGGACTGTATAACAACCTGTCAGATACTTGGTACCTCTTTGCATTTATTGCCCTCAGCTAATGACTATAATCAAAGTATTATTTTATTACTTTGAAAACAGGACAGTGTGTGATTGGAAAGCAAATGAGGGGTGTTCACAAGGCTTTTAATCCTCATCAAATTCAGGAGTCAGCTGTGTTCATCCAGTTTATTCTTACGTTTGAAGGTCAGGATGCCTGATTCTATTGCTGATTCTTTTAGGAAATATGTGGGTGGTACCTGGCATGTATTCTGTTCTGTTGTTGCCTTTTTTTTCCCCCCCTCTGAATTACTAAGTTATTGATTTTCCATGATTATGAACTTCTGAACTGCTTTTAACTCCCTTTCTTATCCTTTTTGACCAAAGCCTGTGTGTGAGTTCATCAATAACCTGTAAGTCCCTATTACCATTTTATGTAGCAGAGTGTGTCTTCTACAAAGAAATGCGAAACATTGCAATATACATTATTAAAATGCATTCATAATGTTGTATTTTTATAATACTTCTCCTTTGGGGAACTAAAATCACATAATATAGTAGCTTAGAAGGAATCAGTTATTCACTAGATTTTTGGGCAAAAAAAGACATACTTTTGATTAAACTGGTAATTTACAAAAATCCAGAAGAGAATGAGCTGTGAACTTTGCTTGTTTCCTGATTTGTTTTATCCTGCAGATTTTAAACAGAACTGAGAGTGTCCCTAGGTAGCATAGTTGTATCTAGAAATAGTTGAACATTTTAGAAGGATTTGGTAAGACAAATTTCAAAGTTTGTTCAGGTTGCAAACTTTTGGGGAACATTGACAAGTTCAAGATGGGGGGATCAAGGCAAGGACTTCCAGTTTGCAAACAAACCTTATGTGGGAGAGAAGAATACCATAGACAGATGATTTCAAAGAATCATAGACTCTGGTATCTATTTTGTTATCACTACAAGGCTACTTTTTAAAATTATTATTATGATTTATTTCTCTCCCAGAACAAATGTTTATCAACCTGTTTAATGACTTGTCAAATAGAAAACCACGGATTCAGGACAATTTCTAGACAACATATATTTTACAGAGGATTTATTAATGAAGTATCAGTTAGCACAGGAAAAGAAAGAAAGGTGTATTAGAAGTTAGAACTTGTATGCTCCTTTCCAGTATTTCTATCCACTTTCTCTCTAGGGTTCCAGAACATATATTGATGTGCAGGTAACTTTTTCATTTCACTCCATGTGCAAAAAGACAGCTGTAGAGGGAAGACCAATTAAAAGTCTGAAAAAATAACAGAGGAATCTCTTTCAAATCTGATGCCTGCTAAGGAATGGGGTTAGGTTTTTTACTCATAAAGGATGAAAAGGGGGAAAAGGGAGTATATGGCAAAATAGTTATGTGATACAGACTGTTCAGGAAGTTCCTGTGGAACAGCCACATAACTCATCCTGGAGCAGGCCACAATATCTGTTTTGAATGGACCCAAC